AAAGTGCAATAACTGTATTCGAAATGATCGTCACCTTCGTTTAAAATCAGAAGACAATGAATAGATGACAGGTGTGGACGAACAACAGACGAAATGCCTTTAGAAATTGCATCCTGAAATTCAACCTTATTTATCTGAGAGAATTATAAGTATGATGAAAAAATTATTCAGATTTCTAAGAAATGTAACGATAAGACGTTGACGAACTGTTTAATCTGATTCTGCATTGAATAGGTTCTACACGAAATTGTCTTGTTTACATTACATGCGCATCTGACTCCAAAACTAGAATCTCTGATAGCGACTCTAACAAGCCTAATAATTCTCTACTTATTGAGGAACAAAATTTACCAAAAATATTTTCCTTTTCTATCTTATTTTTAAAATTGATGTGAATATTTATAGCACCAAAGAATTCTCCATTTTACTAAAAACTCGAAAACATTCGGTGAACAAGAGGAGGGGCTGAGACGAGAACATACAGTTAGAATCACACTGCTTAGTTTATAAAACTTTACATAACATCGACTGTCGTCTTACTGTTATGTGCTAAATTGTGCCAAATGCAAATGTCCAGATCCTGTCATCCAATTTATAACTTTTTTGAAGCTTAGAAATATTCAATCTGTAACTTCGTACTCAAAATGCACATTAGTTTTCCTTAAGACTATCTGCTTAAATATTTACTATCGCTTTAAATATTTTAAAAATCATAGCCATTGATTCAAAATGATATTTTTTATGAGTTCGATTTTTTCTTCTCGCTGCGATGTTTGTATTTCAGGTGATAATGGGAGATATGAAATATATGTTGCTATTATTGGTTATCTTGCTTGTTTTCGAATCTGTAGAATCGTTTGGCTGGGGATACCCGAGATACGGATATTACGGCGGATATAGGCCTTACGGTGGATACAGATCCTTTGGTGGATATGGACCTTATGGTGGTGGATGGTAAATTACAATTTCATTGTAAAATTCTAACATGGAAAGTAATTGCGCGACTGAGTTCCATACCGCGGTACAAGGTCACACAATACTTATTTTTTCTGTTCATTCCTTTATATTAAATATGAAAGGCCCGCTAGAAATATAAGCCTCAATAAATTCCAACTAATGCTTGATGTTCTGAAATTACATTTTTGATCACTGCTGAATGTTATTTTGAAACGTATTGCGCTCAAATCATTTTCATTTTCAGGTCTTCACCATTTGGGAGAGGGATGTTTGGTCGAGGATTCGGTGCAATTGGATCGATATTTGGCAAAAAGAAATAATCGAAATATTACCATTGAATGAACTGATATCAAATTCTATTGTTTTAATAACTTGATGTTCATCACTGAACATTAACTTATCACTTTTGTGTATATGTTTTTTAATAGTATTTTATGATTCATCAATTTTTGCTAAGAACCAAATCCACATAAACAATAATGCGATTAAAAATTACTGAAGTAGTAATCATACAGATCATACAACAACAAAATGAAAAGTTTTTTGAACCGTTGTTATGAATGGAAATGCTAAGAAATAATTTCATTTAAAATATTCCGACAACTTCTCATCGCATAAAGCCAACAATTTCTGATACATTTTGCAAACTTCTATAACACAGTCATAGAATGAAATGCTTGCTATAACTTATAATTTATCCAATTAAAGTAAGCAAAACATTTTAATTACTGTTTTAAGCAATCCCGATTACAGTTTTTTGCTGATTATTCGGCATGAACTGAAACGAGAGCATTTGCTCCCTAATTTGAAAAATTAAAAAAAAAAAGAGGAGTAGTTCAAAAATGGGGGAAGGAGGAAAGATTGACTTGAACTTTTAAATTGAGAACTCTTACAAACGCAAGTAAATGAGCGGAATATAAATTATTTCTTTGAAAAAAGTTATTTCCTAGTTGTAAAATATTGTAAAGTATTTTCCATTTTCACGCGGAATCGTTAAACATGCTATCATAACAACTTATTTGTAGTAACAGGATACTTTACAAGTTGTAAGAAGAAGTCGAGCTCCTTACTGCTTCACAGTTCAATTTGGTTGAGCAAATCAACAAGAAGTGACACCCAAAAAATGGACCAACGTTGTTGGTTAATTGAGAAATCAACCCCAGAAAATATATGATTAAACTTTTTTGGCATGAGATCAAATGAGTATGATTGGATGAGTTGTGATTACTTAGGGGAAATGATGCAAAAGATTTGGTATCAGACTCTGAAGGATGATAAGTGTTGAGATATATTGGTTTGATTCCGGCAACCCTCCAACAAGATTTCACACTTGCAAGAAAGGTCATTAAGTTTTGTGGAGAATTTCTAATGTTTTTTGAGTATCCAACAATTGTTTCTATCAAAAAGAATCTGTGAAATTTATATGACTTTATTTGCTGAAATGATTTGGACGATTTCGGTTTTTTGAAATATTTCATTCTTTTAAGAGAAGGATCCTCTTATAAGACTTCATATCAGTCCTCAAAAGTATCCTTTGCTTTTGTTTATGATTTTGATTATGATAATACCTTTACAAATTACTTCCTATCACGAGTGTTATCAAGCAAAGAAAATTAACAATGTAAGAACAAAAGAAGTGTCAATGGACTTTTTCTGAAGGAAAGCAAGCAATGGTAAATAAATATAAGAACAAAAGAATTATCAAATATTGAATGTCATCTGAATGAATGAAGCAACTATTGCGACAAGTAACAATATTTGGAAATTAATATACACAAAATTATATCTCTGACAAAAAATGAATTACTATTGAAAGGTTATGGGTTCAGAGTGATGCATCTCAACACATAGCATCCATTTTTCAGATTCCTATCCATTCTTATTTTTGATCATCGTTGCTCCAAGTAATAACATCTCATTTCATGTATTATCTGATAACAAAGATAACAAATTGGACGTTGAGTGGAGCTGATTGTGTGATTGGTCAACCCATCTCTGATGTACCCTTTAATTATGATCAGTTACTGATCTGATCAACGGAATAGAGAGGTGTGAGATGGATAAGAAAAAGTTAAAACTCATTTTTCCGCTTCTTTACAAGAATATAGTTGCATATAGCAACGTTATTCTCCGATAAACTTTTTGGTTGTTATTTTATTTGCTATTTATTAGGACAGTAAATTTAGTGGGAATATTTAGTTTTTCTTATTTCAGTAGTCAAAATTTGAATTTACTTTCTTTGGTGAAGTTATTCTTTTTCTTTTTCTCCTCTTCCTATTCTCTCTTGTATGTTGTTATTCAAACGTAACAAAATGTATATCTAATACGATTTATACGCGTACTTGTAAAGCTTAATGTTATGTAATAAATAATTTGCAGCAAATAAAGAATGTTTTGCATGCGTTTAGAAATGCTGATTCTAAACATTTTTTTTTCAAACTCAATGTTGAATAATTAAAAAGGGAGTTTAAGTTCGATATTTCAAACCTTTCATTACTTCATTAAATAATAATTTTGTCGATTTTTAATTAAAATCGCTTAAATCAGCTTAATTTTGGGTATTTCTTTCTTTTGTTCTACTGAATTTTTTGGTATACGTTTTGTTGTTATAAGAAGATAAGGTGATCTATATGTGCATTAGTTATCATGCGAAATGGTGACATCTTGCAGAAACCGGGGCCATTCGTATTTGTATGTAACCATCAGGTATCTTATGATATTTTTTACTAGCCCATATGTTTTGTGGAGATCTTGTAGCGATAGTTTCTCTATTATCGATTTCGAATATCGTCTGATGGCGAATAAATGATGTGCGAATGGTAAACCTCATTTCGTATCGTGCTATGCTGCAGTCTACATTATAACATGCTGAGATTTTATTAGATTCAGTCAAATGTGATTATAGCTATTTTATTTGATGACACAAGATCAGTCTTCTGTATCTCTGATATTTGTTTTACGATGCGTACGAAAAATAGGAAAGTAATTCTCGTTTTCGTTTCAGCTATTAGGTTTGTACATTTGATCTGGATAATGTTTTCATTTTTGTTCTTGTTTTCTGTAAAGAAGAAAGAAAGAAAAAAAATAGAAAAGAAACACGACATACATAAA